GCGTCAGGGCGGCGTTGCGGGAACATTTCTTTTCCTCTTCATCGTGGGCGTAGTGGATCGCGCGCCTGGATCTGCAGTTAGAAATGGTCTACAAATCCTATCTTCGGGCGAAACTATCTGACGTGGGTTTTCGTCGGGCCCAGAACGACGCGTTGTTATATCGCGAGCTCGCGTTAGTTCATTCTCGACGCCTGTGGATTGAATGGAGTGATTATTGCTGCTGACGCTACGGTCACCGGACGTCGACCAATCCCGAATATTTCTCTCTTTGGAACACTAGCGATGGTTTCTCTTTTTTTTTTTTTATATATATATTTTCTTGGATTCGGTGAACCCCGGTTCGCCATCGGCACGGGTGCTTCCACTCATTGGCGCGTCCCGTGCTGATACGTGTTTTTTTTTTTTTTCCGATGCGTTGGATACGGTGAACTCCACTTGCCAACAGCGCGGGTGCTTCCACTCATTGGCGCGTCCCTCGCTGAAACTGACAACACATATGCAGCACGGGTGCTTCCACTCATTGGCGCGACCCGCACTGATGATACTTGTACGCAGCGCGGGTGCTTCCACTCATTGGCGCGTCCCTTGCTGAAACTGACAACACATATGAGCACGGGTGCTTCCACTCATTGGCGCGTCCCGTACTGATACGTGTATGACTTCGTTTTCGATGCGTGGAGATCGGTTAATTCTACTCGCCCAACAGCACGGGTGCGCCCACTCATTGGCGCGTCCCGTACTGATACGTGTACGGCGTTTTTGTTCTTTCTTTTTGAGATCGGTTAACTCTACTCGCCAACAGCACTCATTGGCGCGTCCCTTGCTGAAACTGACAACACATATGCAGCACGGGTGCTTCCACTCATTGGCGCGTCCCGTACTGATACGTGTACGACTTCGTTTTCGATGCGTTGAATTCGGTTAACTCTACTCGCCAACAGCACGGGTGCGTCCACTCATTGGCGCGTCCCGTGCTAATACGTGTACGGGGTTTTTGTTCTTTCTTTTTGAGATCGGTTAACTCTACTCGCCAACAGCACGAGTGCTTCCACTCGTTGGCGCGTCCCGTGCTGAGGCTGACAACACATATGCAGCACGGGTGCTTCCACTCATTGGCGCGTCCCGTACTGATGCATGATTTGTGGTATTTCCTACCGCTGCGTTGAATTCGGTTAACTCTACTCGCCAACAGCGCGGGTGCTTCCACTCATTGGCGCGTCCCGTGCTGATACATGTACGGCGTTTTGTTCTTTCTTTTTGAGATCGGTTAACTCTACTCACCAACCGCACGAGTGCTTCCACTCATTGGCGCGTCCCGTGCTGAGGCTGACATCACATATGCAGCACGGGTGCTTCCACTCATTGGCGCGTCCCGTACTGATGCATGATTTGTGGTATTTTTCTACCGCTGCGTTGAATTCGGTTAACTCTACTCGCCAACAGCGCGGGTGCTTCCACTCATTGGCGCATCCCGTGCTGATACATGTATGACTTCGTGTTTCGTTGCGTTGAGATCGGTTAACTTCCACTCGCCAACAGCACGGACGAGTGCTTCCACTATTGGCGCGTCCCGTGCTGGTGCGTGTCCTTGTTTTTTTTATTTTCATTGAGATCACTTCCGCATAGACAATCCTACGGCAGGTTGACGAGTTTTTGGCATGCATCAATTGCTGTCCGGGCGTTTTTGGTCGCTTAATCGTCGATGGACGTGACGTATTCTTATAGAAGGTTTGTGTCACGGCGGCAATAAATTTGACGTGATGCCCCTCGAGACCGTGATGCACTCACATGGACCGCTACCTGACGCTCCTCGCGAGTTCGAACCTCGCGTGTCACATCCACCTCCCCCCCCTATTTTTTTCTCATCTTCTTTTTCCTTATGCATACAGCACGTAGTTCGCTGTCTCGTTTTTTTTTTCTCGTCTTCATTGTTTTTCAGTCTTTTTCTTTGAGTCTTTCTCTCGCATGCATGTGTTTTTGCTTTTATCCGTTCCCGTGAATGCTGTTGAATGCACTTTCCGATTACGTATGCGGCCGCTTTGTATGCCATGGGACTTGTCGATACCATCAGTGGGGACTTGTCAATACCATCCGTGGAGACGATTGCTTACGTGAGTGGGCATATTATCGTCGATTCCTTCAGCTATATGCCCCTCTGTGCGCGGCACAGACAAGATTGTACCGGCAAGTAGTCCCTAGTAAGCCGGGGGAAACAGAAAACAAGGCACCTGCCTCATGTGCATAATCGTGACAGCATCATGCCCTACTGCCGCGGGTCGATTGGTTATGTCCGATGCCGCAGGGTTCCTCCACCCCGTGCAGTACAATGGCTGCTATCAACCGCGACAAGTCAGCGTGCGACCATACAACAGGCCCCGCTCTTTCTTTTTGCCGTTGAATTTTTTCTTCAGAGAGAGTACGTCTGGTTGGGACGAACCGCATTTTTTTTCTTCAGCGAGAGTACGTCTCGGTTGGGATGAACCGCATCCCATGTTTGGGAAGGGACCTATCTGAGCGGCGCGGCGAGCGAGACTGCGTTGGCTTGCCGCCGCTTATCTTACTGCACCCTCCCCCCTCGTGCTAAATGCACGCAGCGGTGAGGTCACAAGAGTAGCGGGACGCGAATAGGAACACGGCCGACACGATGGATGTTGGACACGAGTACACACCTTTATATGGAGAGTCGCGTGCTGGTCACTTCCCCAATGCTTGCGCCGTGTCCCGTCCCGCCCTTTTCTAAACTGCCGCCGCTACTGCGTTAGGCGGCTGCTGCTGTCCTTCCGTTGCTTCACGCGCTCTGTAGCTGTCACACGTTACCCGACTTTGCTACAGCCCCTGCGTGGACTCGATCACGGAATGACACCCCCAACTATAGACTAATAATTCCAAACACCGTGACCCTGGGTTTCCGGGTAGAAAATGAAGCCAAATTCTAATTCGACTGTTACAAAATAAACACCAGTTTATTCTATCTGCTT